GGCCGTGTGGCCAGATGAGCGCCTCAGAAGCAGGGGTGCATCAGCAGCTTGTCCAGAAAGAGGACAGGAAATAGTCAACACCCGCTTCCCTCTTCCCTGCTGGCGGGGCCCCCAGCTGGGGCTGAGCCAGCTCCCTCCACTCCTGCTTCCTGGTAGCAGCGCTAGGTTGCCTGGTATGTTACTCATTAACCAGGCACGAATATTTCTGTTTACCCATCTGTCATCCTGCTCTGGAGCAGGGGATTCAGAGGAGCCGCACAACCTTACAGCCAGCCGGCGGCTCCCGGATGGTGGCCTAGCCAGCCACATTCAGCGTGTGTTTGTTGTGTGAAAAGCCTGGTACTCGGTGTCGCCAGGGAAAGATAAGGATGTGGTCTGTCTTCCACGTGAGCACACTTGCGGTGAAGTGCATCACCTGGCTGAGACTAACAGCTCTCCCCAAACCCGTGGTCTGTGTTGTCGTGTAGCTGTAAGCTGGCCCTGCTGGAAGGGCGTATGCCACAGAAATTAGCAAGTGCCACAAGTTTGGGCCTTCCCTCCACTCTGCCCTCCCTCCTCCCCATCCCACTCCTGGCCCCCCGCACAATCGCGGGCTGTGGAACACGTCCCAACACATCGTGGAGCCATGTGTTTACCAAGTGGCTGTGCCGTGACTCGCAGAGCCGCCTCCTGGCCAGCTTGTCTTTGCATAGCTTATATATATATATATATATATTTTAAGATTTATATATTTATTTGAAAGGCAGAGTTACAGAGAGGCAGAGGCAGAGAGAGAGGGAGAGAGAGAGAGAGAGAGAGAGAGATCTCCATCTGTTGGTTCACTCCCCAATGGCCACAATGGCCAGAGCTGTGCTGATCCAAAGCCAGGAGCCAGGCGCTTCTTCCAGGTCTCCTACGTAGGTGCAGGGGCCCAAGCACTTGGGCATCTTCTACTGCTTATCCCAGGCCATAACAGAGCTGGACCAGAAGTGGAGCAGCCGGTACTCGAACCAGTGCCCATATGAGATGCTGGCACTGCAGGTAGCGGCTTTACCCACTACGCCACAGCGCCGACCCCTGCATGGCTGATTCTAATGAAGGAGGCATCAGCCTTCCTTTCAGGGAGCTACTGGCCTGGTGAAAACCGTGCGTGTTTGCGTGGTCCGCCAGGGCTTCGTCACTGTCATGCATACCATCTCCTGGACCCTAACAACCACCTCCCTCCATGGTGGGCACAGCCGCCAGGGTGATCTTCCTGGAGTGGATACCAGAGCTCGCTTCCTCTTGCTTCATCCCTCGAATGACTTCCAGAGCTCTCAGAATTCAGGCTCCTCTGTGGCTCAGGGACTTGCACGTTCTGGTCCCCACTCACCTCCTAGGCGTCTCTGTCCGTCGCTCTCCATCCCAGCTCTCGGCATTCTAGCTCGGTGGTTCTCAGAGCAGCATCAGCATCACCTGGGCACTTGCTGGAAACGCACCCGGGCCCACTCTGATGGTTAATTTTTGACTGGCCCGTGGAGTGCCCAGATATTTGGCTACACGCGGTTTCTGGGCGTGTCTATAAGGGTGCTTAGGGAGGAATCAGTAGACTAAGGAAAGTGGAGTGGCCTTCGGGACACGGGAGGCGTCCACTGGAGGTCTGAACAGAAGCAGGAAGGCAGAGGAAGGAAGCACTGGCCCTCTGACTGGGTGCTTGCCCGGCGTGCCGGATCCAGCACTGGCGCCATCAGTTTTCCCAGTTCCCAGGTCTTTGGCTTTGGGCTGGAAACACAGCACCAGCTTTCCTGGGTCCCTAGCTTGCAGATGGCATGTCACGGGGCTTGTCGGCCTCAGGAACTGAGTGACGGCTCATCACAACCCCTCTCCGTCTCTGTGTCTCCCCGCCCCGTTTCTCTGGAGACCCCTGACCGATACACCTGCTGATGCTGAATCCTGGGGGAGGGAGACAGCAGTTTTTGCTTCAGCAAACCCTGCGGGTGATTCTAACACCAGTTCCACAGTTCCTTGGTAACTGGTTTGCACTTGGCCCGTTCTGAAGGGGCCTCGCTAGACTGCCTGTTTTACCTCTTCTCTTGTAACACCGCCCCAGCTAAAACGCCCGGTCTACTCAGAGGGTCTCCGACATACCATGCTTCAACTTAACTATTTTTAAAATTTTTTGCTTTCCTGATGGCGTGAATTTTGCGTTTTCGTATTTTCCTGGCTGGCAATGTGCTCCTATGTGATGCTGGGTGGTGGCTCACAGCTTCTGTTCAGCCCCACGCTCACAGCGGGAGAAAGGACATTCTCTGTAGCACGCGACAAGCGTGTTGTTAAGCTAAGGTGTTCAGGAGGTTCTGGGCACCAGGTGCATTGTCAACTTAGAATATTTCCAATTTCCAATGGGCACATCAGGACATAAATCGAGGGGTATGTGTGCTAGCTCTTCGAGCCATTGTGTTTTTTTTTTTTTCTGTTTTGTTTTTTAAATATGGAACACTTCACAAATTTGCATGTCATCCTTGCACAGGGGCTATGCTAATCTTCTCTGTATTGTTCCAATTTTAGTATTTGTGTTGCCGAAGCGAGCACAGAGCCATGGTGTGGAAGGAGTCAATTACTCAGTTTCCCAGTGAAGAAATGGGCTGATCTACCTATTGACTTGATGAGGGCCAAACACTGGGAAGTGAGTGGCTAAGACTTTACCCCGAAAGCCTCAGACCAGCTCCAGCGATTTTCTTACAACCCCATGAGAAGCCAAAGGACTTGCTTATGCTCTTTCCCGGTCAGCAGGAGCAGCCATGTGCTGAAAGAACCCGGGAACCCGAGCCGGAGGCGTCTGCCAGCTTGCTGCGGGAGCCCTTCTCGGACAGCGGAGCTGCCTCAGCTCCAGCAAGGCTGTTCTCTGTCTCCCACTTAAATACCCCTGGAACCTGGGGAGTGACGGCTTTGCTGTAGCAGTCACTGCTGGTGAGGATTTGCCTGCCCGTTTGGCCCCGATCTTTGTTCTTCTTCCCCTTGGGGCTGCGTAGACACGTCTTCTGTAAATGGACCGTATCTCGTTCCAGCCCCACAGCCAGCCTTTCTTATCCAGGGTCACACCTTGGAGCCCAGACAGACCTGGACTTGGCCTCTCACCCACCGCTCCCCAGGTGGCCACAACAGTCAGATCTGGGTCAGGCTGACACCAGGAGCCGGGAGCTCCTTCCGGGTCTCCCATGTTGGGGGGGCCCCAAGCACTTGGACCATCCTCCGCTGCTGTTCCAGGAGCATCAGCAGGGAGCTGGGTAGGAAGCAGAGCAGCAGGGACTCAAGCCGCTGCTCTGACATGGGATGCTGGCCTTGCAGGTGGCTGCCACAATGCCAGCCTCTATTATATGGTCTTAAATTTCCAATTTTGGTTAATTTTTCTGGGCTTGACTCCCTGAGTTAGGGTCCTTCATAAGTATGTGTTGCTCGATGCTGGATGTGCTACAATTAGACCTGAGTGGAGTGGGATATTAGCAACCTGTGTAGACTCTATTTCTTTTAATCCCACCCAGATCAATTAGTTGTTTTGGAAACCTTAATGCACCAGAGACTCATAGTAAAGCTCCAGTCAGCTGAAAATCCCAGGATTCTGCTTATGCATCACTACCAAAGTCTCTTAATACATGTCTAATATGTGATTCGCATCTTTTTAAACTTCTACTTACTGTATTTCTTTTAAGCAGGGATACACCTGTATTTCACCTGGATCGATACCATAGAGTTAAGCAATACTTGGTGATTCCTCAGCAATTTTATATCTGTAGTCATATTTTAATGCTCAGCATAAGCTTGGGAGGTACACAAATTACTTTCAGAAGATTGTTGAAAAACGGAATTACAATAGAAGCTTATTTTGGTGTAAAAAATGCTTTTGAGAGCCATGCGACGTTTTTCCGTAATGCGCATTTTCCATGAACATTTTGAAGAGCCTCTCATAGGCACGGATATCAAACTTTTTTTTTCTACCAGAATAAATAGGTCTTTTCATTCTATTTGCCCATGCGCCCTCTCAAGTGCCTTGCAGCCCTCTCGTTACTAGGTTTTGGAAATGGAGGCTACCGTCTGTGATTTGCCCCAGGTCCTGCAGCTCATAAGCCAGCGCTGAAGTCAGGGCTCTTCCCACACCGGGTGGGGGGGGGAGGGAGAGAGAGAGGGAGAGAGGGAGAGGGAGAGAGAGAGATAGAGAGAGAGAGAGAGAGAGAGATAGAGAGAGAGAATGAGAGGGAGAGAGGGAGAGGGAAAAACGGAGAAATATAAAAATAACGGAAAGGGAAAAAGGA